GGGGAGTGGTCTTTGCCCCCGTGGCTGTTTGCACTGTTGGAGCCTCTCGTAAAACCATGCCCTCCCAGTCCCTTGGTCTCTAACAGCCCTCCCGTAGCATGCAGCCAGCTTTTTCCAAAGGCCTCAACACCTCCCTCGGGGCACTGGCGGGCACGAAGCCCCCCGGCAGGACAGGCACTAACAGTCCTGTCTTTGGCCAGAATGTAACTGCAACCAGATCGGCTCCGTGCACGACCGCTGCAACGAGACCGGCTACTGTGAATGCAAAGAAGGCGCCACGGGGCCCAAGTGTGACGACTGCCTGCCCAACTACTACTGGAGACAGGGCTGCTTCCGTAAGTACCCCGGCAGCATCATGTCCCCCTGAGCCAGAGGGACAGAGGGAGGTGTGAGATGGGCCCAAACAAGAGGGGGATCTTCAGCACCGCCTGCTCGGGTGCCCCGTGATGCTCAGGGTGTAGGGTGAGCAGACTCCAGCCATTCCTCCCAAATCCAAAATGACTTGATAGCTTTGCCCCTGGAGTTTGCAGCCCCCGTTGTTTTCCTCTGGCCTTGGGGCTGCTCTGGCACTACAAGGGTTGGACAAGTTAACCCCAAGGAGCGAGAGAAGAAAGCCAAAAGCTTCTAGTTTCTGCTTCAGTCAAGGGGTTTAACATACCCCCACATTAACGCCCGCGTCCTTCCCTCCCTCCCACCTCGCAGCCAACGTCTGTGACGATGAGCTCCTGCTCTGCCAGAACGGCGGCACCTGCTCCCAGAACACGTTTTTGGACAAAAAGGACTGCGACGGTGCCCCCAGCGCACGCGGCAGCCCCGGCACCATCCTCCTCGGGGTGCTCGCCCTCCAGCTGCGCAGCTGGGTGGACCTCTGAAGCCGCAGAGGAGGGAGCCCAGCCCAGGCACGTCACCCGAGGGACCTGGGGAGACTAAGGTAACGGGTGGCTCTCCCCACCGTCTCCTCCGCCTTCCTTCATGCTAGGACTTGCACAACGTCTTCTGGTCCACTTTCCAAGCAGAGAGGTATGCAGAAAATCAGGGGCTGACTCCTGCCCACGAACCCATCCTGGCAGCAGCCGGGGTGGCCACAGCGCAGAGCCGGCTGCCGAGCAGCGGCGGCGGAGACTGCACCAGCCTGTGCCGGGGCCGCGTCCCGCAGCCCAGCGGGGACACGGGGCCCGTCCTTCCCTCCGCGCAGCGACTCTCCTTCCCTGCTCCGCACAGGGCGACCTGGGGCCGGGGCCACCGGGGCCCTGGTGAAATAGTGCCGCGATCCAAGGGATATTTTTTTTATTATTACTTTATTTACTTTGGTATAGGCTGGGGTGTGCTTTTTATTTTTCCTCTTCTTAGTGTCCTGTTTTGAAAGAGCCTGTCATGACAACTCCAGAGCCCCGTAACACAACAGGCAGGGGAAGGGGAGGGAGGGAAGGGGAGACTCTGGTCCATCCTTGCTGCATAGTCGCACATCCCACCATCAGCCTGGCCTGGCCACGCACATACTGTTGCCTACAACTCTAGTTGCTGCATTGATTTTTTTATTTTCATTGCTGGGGTTTGTTTTCTTGCACTTACGGAGAACGCAGGGGCCATTAGGCATATGGTACGTGAGGAGTGCAGTGTCTTATCCACACATGTCCATATAGTGTACGGTTCAAATACTTTTTTTTGGTAGAGACTTATTTTTGTTTGGATTAAATGTTATAAAAGAACCGCAACTTAAAGGGACATTTTGCCATGACCGTTTGATTCTGGTGTATCCTCCTCCAGTAAAGCAACTATCAATTGCTGCTTGATCACCACGTTTTCCTTTTTGTGTGCGCAGTTAATTACAGGTAAAGACTTATTTTTTGATTCATAATGTCCTCTTGTGTTTTCTAAGTCACTACCAAGGTGCACCACATGGTGAGGGAGAGGGGAGGGAGAGAGAGGTTGCCTCATCACTGAGAGCTGTTAATTATTTCTCCTAATTACTTTGCTGAACCTAGATTAGACTACTAACTGTAGACAATGAACAAAGCCTAAGTAATATATTAAGCACTGGTCTTGTGTGGAAAGGCCATTTCCAAATGAGCCTGCGGCAGGAGAAGCCTGGGTAGCCCAGGGATGCTTCTCCAGGGGGACCTCAGCTGCCCAGCCCCATTGCAGCCCCCCCAGAGCTGGTGCCATGATACACCTTTGCAGAAAAAGCTATTTATTTTGAATACCTTCAAGCAGCCAGAGCCTGGGACTTCAGTATAGAGCTCACAGGGAGTAGATCAACTCATGTAAGGCTTATAAACATGCCGCTATCAGAGGAAGTGTTTGCAGTCAAGCACATAAACGAAGGCAGGAGAAATGAGAGACAAGCAATGATGTAACTCAATCAGAACAATGGGAATGTCATGTACACGAGAGCTTTAATTTTGTCATGTCCAAAGATTTGCCAAACCAGGAGCTGATTGAGTGGAGGATAAGAAGGCAGGAGAGACCCGCCACCTCCAGCACGTTCAGTTCTGGGCTAGTTCTCTTGACAAGGGAGCAGCCCTCGGTCACCGCCCCAGCTCTACCCAGCCCGCTTGCTCCCTGAGCCAGCCCAGGAGCCCACATAATCCAGCCTTGAGCCTCCACTGGCATTTCCAGGTCTGGTGTCCTTGCCAGAGTGCTACTCCAAGAGCTTCTCTATCAACACCTGTTCTGTTTCAGCACCCGGTCTCCATGCTCCTGTCCCTACAGCCCATCCTGCTCAGCTGGGGCCCGTGCTGGGAGCAGCCCAAGTTTCAAAAGTGCAAGAGCCTGCAGTGTCTTCCAGCCTGACACTGCAGATACCGTGCACGCAGCTAGTGCCCCCGAAATGCAGCCACCTCCACGGAGAGGGGGACAGTGAACTTGTACGTTGAAAAAGGAGAAGAAAACAGGGGCGAAGGTGCAAGAACGGATATTGCCACATCAAAGAGCAACACAAATCTGGTGCACGTTTTGAGCAGCATTTAACATCACAGAGGCAGGTCACAGGACTTAGTTAATCCACCATAAAATAAATGAGGGTTAAACTCACCCTGCTGAGATCAGATCTTTGAGGGAGTGGGCTGGCACAAGCATTGCCTCCCTTTCCTTAATGCAGTCGGTTGCTGTCTGTTGGTATTGACGCCCGCTCTTTCTTTGTACTTTCTGACTGCAATAGATTTAAAATCCTCATACGTTACTGTTCTTACAAGTAATAGCATAGAAAAGACTGTAACAAGATCAAGATCTCTAATGGCACTTCTAGAAGGTGAAGCAACATTCTCCTTTCCCTGCACTAGTGTTTTTCTCTAGAATATTAGATTAAGCAACAGAAAATTTACTACTTCATAAAGCCGTATCCCAGACAAACTCTGCACCCAGCAGATTCCCTGCAAACACACACCTTTATTGCGATGCAAGCAGGAGCTGCCAAGCAGCAACGAATTCCTGTAGAAAAAAAAAAACGTCAAAAGGGCACAACAAAGCTCAGAACAGCCCAGGAATGAAGACTGTTGAAGGTGATAGACCACTGCACTAGACCTTCTTAGGTTTGGGGAATTTTCTCTTGGTTGATTGGGTGCTGGTTGGTTGGTTTGGGGGTTTTGTTTGTTTTTAAGATAAAACATCGTTGGCTTCCTAACTCAGCTCCAGAGATGGTACCACCTCCCTGTGAACCCAGAATACGAGTCACGTTCAGTCCTGGACCTTCTTTAACCAAAGCCCAATGAATAGTTCTGTAACTTCAACCAGAAGCAGAAAGTTGTGGTGCTAACCCTCCTGCAGCCATGCCAAAGGACACCTGAAAAATGTTGGGGAACAAAACACAAGTCGGCCCTCCACACGAGGTTATACCATTCTTAGGCTCTTCCTAGTCATGCAGAAGCAAAGCCCTCTGTGAAATGGTAACTGCAAAGGACAAACACGACATGCTTCATCTCGCAGAAGAAATCAAATGGCCTTTAGGCTGAGAGCAAGAGCAGAGCCAAAAGAGGGAGTTTCAGACTTCCCTCCTGCGGCTCTGCCTGCAGACGGGGCCGTACAGCTCATCTTCAGGCTCAGACACAAAGCTAGCCCTGCGCGTTGGAGATCAGGATGGCACTTTACCTGTCCAATGGTGCTGGAGAACTTGCAATCACGTAACACAAACCACTGCAAGGCAGAAAAAAACCTCTCACACAAAACTTAAACCTGGTATTTAAGAAAATAATTTAAAGCTTCTGAAAGCTTCAGCACTGAAGATCCATTAACTGCAGACAGCTGTTAGCACATAGGTGTCTACACAAAGAGAATAGAGCATTATTGAAATAATACAGAGAGAGAAACCATCGCAGCAAGTACCCGCGGATCCAAAAGTTCATCTTCTTTAAGATAGAAACATTTGTACATCAGTTAATGCTTCCAAATGGGAGAAGCTGTCCAATGAGCTTGATACTTTACTTGTGGAAAGGTTAACCAAAAGGTACTTCTCTTTCCGAGAAAGCCACTTGTGCTTTTTCAAGAGGTTTTCATGTGTATCCTGTCACCGGTACGCAGCCAGCATTTGATTCATTTGAAAAAAGTTTTTAAATTACACTTCTGCCTGCAAAAAAGTGGCCTCTTCAAACAGTACAAGTAGAGCTTTTGATTTTTCTTGTTTACCTCCAGTTCTACTCTGATTTTAACTATTTAGAGGACTGACAAATCTAAATAACCAAAAGCCCCGAAGCAACAAAGATCCGCCTGATGGGACAGACTGCTGCAGCCAGGCTGAGTCCGCAGCCCCAGCTGCAGAGAAGTCAACAGCGGTCTGGCTTTATGCGTATTTGCTCACTCGCCAGATAAAACATTAAGCCTACAGTCCCTGGGAGCTGGAGACAGAAGGAGGGGGGGGAAAATTCCGTTGGCACTTACCAGGTATGTTATTTGGTTTTATAAAGATGAGGAAGCAGAGACCTCATCTACGAGAGCGATGCGTCAGGAGCCTTGCGGAGGCTGGAGTAGCGAGACAACCAACGCTTTAGTGGAAATAAAATTAATAGTCTCACCAACCAATTCTGTTCTATAATTGGCTTTCATAAAAAGTCCCAAATGTAAATAAAACAAAGTATAAAGGAGGAGCTGCGCGTTCTTGCTCAGAAATAAGAGCCCAGCTGGGTTTTGAAGAGCTTTGTATGACCATCTTCTCAGCCCTTCTGGCAGGGAGTTGGACAGTTTGGCCACTACCATGCAGACACCAGCTAAAAATCACACGCTGATTTGAGATGCAGAGAAGAGCTTCAGACTGTCCTAAAGGCTCCTTTATCATTTTGATTCTCTAGGTGTCGTAACGAGTTTCACTGCAGGGTAAAACGTGTGAGGAAAGCCTAAAACCACCCATTTTTACCACGCAACTACTTTCTCTCCTGGCCAGCAACAGCACTGGGCTCCAAAAGCTCCATCCCGACCCTGCTCTGTGCTATTTCAGGGATTAAAATAAAGAGAGGGGAAACGGATGGGATTTCTCTGTAGCAAAAGGAGTTCTTGCTTGATACAACAGTGAAATCTGTGACAAAATTGGACAGCCACAGCAGCGTAGCCTGTCACGCTGTAAAATAAGGTTTCCTATGTTTTCACAATACCAAATGTAACGTGCACTCAACCCACCTTCATTTTCATTTCTATCACTATTTGCCAGGAAGTTGGTGGCAAATTAGAGGCCTTGGCAGACAGGTACATATGGCTGGAAGGTCTCATGTGTCAGCGATATTCGATGTAGACGGCTGCTCAGCTTACATTTATTTGCACTAGAGAATAAGGCATTGGGCTCCTTTCCAAGCATCTTAAAAAGACAAGAAAAGAGACCTTATGTACGACTTGGGAATGGACCCGTTGTGGCAAGAGACTGTATTATATCATTAACATTATAAATTCCATTTACAATACAGCAGTCATTTCATCCATCATTTATTCATGCAGACTAGAGAGAACGTCTTGCATTTTTAGGACCGTGGTTCTGCTTATCCTTGGTGCTGCTACGGTCGAGGGGCTGTGAATGAGCAGCCCAGGTCCAGCTTTTGGCTACTCCGGTCCCTCCCTTCTATACGCAAAAGTAAACCCCAGCATCTCACCACTCTTCAGTAACTGGGGAAAAAAAAATAAGTCTCAACTCCGAGATCACTAGGGTTCCACGTTATTTTTTGGATCCCAGCTGGGACTGGGAATGTTGTAGTGACCAAACATACTGATTGAGGGTAAACAAGTTCTTTCTTGAACACTGAGCGTGCTGCTCAGTGCTTCCCTAGCGTCAGTACAGCAGGGGTGGGGGCTGCTTCCATTTTATGGACTAGCACGAGGAAGAGGCCAAGTGCCTCGTCAGTCTGCACACCTTGCACATCTCACATCTCCCAGCTCCTCTGCCTCCATCCATGGGACCCAGCTGCTAATTAGCAACTGCACCCAGCTTATCTAGGAGACAGTACTGTAAAAACTCATTGCCCCACCAGTACTACCAGCACCGGACGGGTGAGCACAGGCGAGGGACCGGGAGGAGAGGCTGATGTTTTCATCACCCCCCAGCAGCGTGGCACTGCTCTCGCGGCTACCGCTCACAACCCAGAGGCACCGCCAGCTCTCGGCTGTTCCTCAGGCCCGTCTGCTACCACCACCACACCGAGGAGCGACAGCCCCCCCTGCTACGCTTCCCAGAGCGGGCTAACGCTCCTGCAAACGGCTGGTTTTCCTCTGGCTGGGCAGCAGATATCCGTAGGCACAACTGATAAAGGCACCATTAGTAAGCCAGCACTCCATAGCATAATGCACATACAATGAAACGTAGGTAAGAAAAACATATTAGGCAAATACCTGTTTGGATACTGTCACTATACATCTGGCTCCGGTTTGTTCTCACATCACTGTAATTTGGAGTAGTGACTTAGAAAACAATTACAGTAAACCGTAAAGACAAAAGGAATAACCAGAATTATACTCCACCTTTACTGGAAAGCCTATTTCATGTACAAAGGATTAATTAAAAACCCCAAACTTTGAACAAAATATAGTCCAACACTTACAAGATTTTCCCTTCTTAATGATGTCAAAGATTAATAGTGCCACAGAGAGACCTGGTTTTGCACTGAGAATTAAGCTGCCAAGCTTGGAAGAAGCATGGAAGCCTCTGTACAAAAACCTGAACGCTGCTTCTTCCAAAGGTTTTTGGCACAAACTCCGATTAAACTGTTTTACATTGTTGCGTTGAAATGTTCTTTACCGATTTTTCTGACTTTAACACTCAGCGGAAGAGAACGATCACTGAACAACCTCCTCCGACTGCCACTAGTGCCGAGATGATACTAAATGAATAAAGCAAGTCTACACTTAGCTTACCAACACCCACTGTCCATCACTATTCAGTATTTTATAACACACAGTGGAAACAGCAGAGAAGTTATGAAAATTCTACTATTTGTTGCCCCATGCAGATTTTATTTGAATCGGTGAGAAGTGTTCTCTGGATTGGAGCTTGCTTGGGCTTCCATGTTATGGGTATAAAAGGGAGGGGGAAAAGTTAAAACTACAAACCTACTCCGAGTGATATGTGAAGAGGGAAAAGTGTTTTAAGTGCAACAACCCAAACATTTTTTTTATTCAAGAATACACCATTAACGATACAGACTGATATGGTAGCAGTAAGCTACCACTGAGAGATTGACAACTTAAGTCAGATAAATCTAGTATTAAATAAGCAAAACAGTTTGAGCCACTGACCATGCCTCAAAGCTGATTTATGGGAAGATACAGGTGTTGTAGAGTACATGACCTATGTGCTGTGTACATAATACAAGAAAAATGAAATGTTGAAACAAACCTCCTTCCAGCATGTGGTAAGCATAGCGCTCAGAAGAACACATTTTGAAATGCAGATTGTTTAAGGAGAAAGCGAGCTAGAAGAAAAGTTTCAGAGAAACATTCTTTGGACAAAATTGTATTTAATGGCCAGAAAAGCATTTCCTCATTCACACTGTCGCCAGCTTCACTTTCTTTACATTGAGACAGTCTAAATGGCTTCCACAGCTATAGGAACATCCTACAGCTGCTCGCAGAATAGCAGCCTTTTTAAATGTGCTAAGTAGAAACAGCAGGCAGGTCAGCACAGCCCTGCCAAGAGGTTTGAAAGATGACAGTATTTTTAAATATTCCTGTTAACATAAAGGGAGATAACACACAGGGCACGGAGTATGTGATGCGGGAGCGACCAAAACGTCCGATTCGTGACAGTCACGGATTCATTCAAGCGGCCTTCCTTCTCACACAAGGTACACAACATCAAGGAAGAGTCACAGCAGTTTTGTAAGTGCATATACTGCTGACAAGACGTGGTCAGGGTTCACTGAAGCCATTAAGATTGCAACATAACAAATAACTAAAGCTAAACAATGCACATATTCTGATTTCACTTCATAGGCATCTCAAAGATTCTCCCCTATTACCTTAAAATGCTCTGTACTACGCAGCACAGTGAGCTGGACAGTCACAGACGGCAACTAAAAGCCTCCCAACACACCTACAGTGCAGCGAGTACCAGCAAAGCAAATTCGGGGGTGGATGCATTAAGGATGTAAGTTTTACCAGCAATTACAGTTTGAACCACTACCTGATGTTTCGTACGGTAAGGCACCTGTATTTCCCTGCACTGGATCGCACGTACCTCTTCGGCAGTGGGTTCAAAGGACAAAGCTAACACTAATCATTGCAATGAACGCGTCGGGACAGAAACTAACTAAAGATTATGGCTAAATTCTGGCCAGAGAAGTCTGGCAGCTCATTTGCTTAGGGAAAGCCACCACCCTCATATTGGTTGAGCATAAGTCAGTTAGCAAGAGACAGCAGGATACTGCCCGCTTCCTAGCAGGCAGTATTTTAACACCGATGCACGGAGATAGCAACCTGGCCCGCTCACAATACACCCAACTTGTACTAACATAGCGAGGTGCCGCATTCTCAGGCAGAAGCGGGCTAGGCTATCTCCATGCAAAACTCTGCGCACCTGAACACGCGTCTCACCTCCTTGAGACAGACACGTACTCCAGAAAAAGAAAGCGATACTTCACAGTGACCCAAAGGCATTCTTAGTACAAATAATTCCACTTTTATTGTGAAATGTTACGATGAGAGGAAGCTTTCTTAAAAATAGTTTGTTTTTTCACCCCGTTTTACTGGTTATACATTCTTCATCAACGCAGTGGAAAGAATCCAGTAATAACACCGAGAATGAACTGCTTGCCCTTTTTATCTCTGTAGATCTCCAAAAGCTCTATACAAAGAAACTCAAGTGTCATTACCAATAAGTGTTAACTAGATCTTTGACTAAGATTCCACAGTGCTGTTGATTATTCGTCACATGGACTCACTGGGACCAAAACAGACCTCGTAGGCTTTAATCTGCAGTTTCTGTTGCCACTGCAACAAGAAACGGATCCAACTGATGAAGCAGCAGCAAAAGCAAAACTCAAGGCACATTTGTATAAACGAAAGCTCTTCTGTTCCTATAAAAACAGGCAATAAAATATACAAAATAAGTAGAATTCTCTCCATTCAACCAACGTACGTCTGCCTTCAGTCTTTCCTGGGGCATGAGGAAGAATCCCTGCTACCACATTTTCAACATTCACTCTTTGCTATCGAATAAATTAGACTTACTAGTGCAAAGGGAAAGA